ATGATGTAATGCAAATATAGCTCTGAAATACATATCATTGTACTATATTATATGATATAAATATCAATTTTAGTACTCTGATCTTTTATATTCTTTATATTTTGGACGGTACAAAATCCAAACCGATTATATTGACATGAGGACCATTATGATGAAATTCTCAGCGGAAAACTATGTAATAAACAAATCTAAAAGCAAAGAAAACAAACAATTAATGTATAGATAAAAATTACTGTATAAAATTGCACAATTGTTAACATCAAAATTTGCGAGCCATTTTGATTGAAAAATCATGCCTCTTAAAAATATTACTATTTGAAACACTATTTTTCAAATTGATAAGTTACTGTTGCTCGGATTTAATTGTCGGCAATCATAACTATAACTAGGAATCTTGACACCCTTTTAATTCTAGCTCATCATAAGATACATTGATCTAATTTACTTATTATACTACTCTTAGGGTGCGCGTGAATCCTGTCTGAATGAGTATAACTTTATTTAAAAGTAGTATTGAGTTATACAATAAAAGTGTAAGTTTCTAAAGATGGTCATGAATATTGATTGTGTATAACTAACTTAATAATTGAAGAAATTATCTCAGAAGTCCTCAATCATCAATAACTCAACCTAACATTTGTTCCAGGTTTGTAATTTCATAATTTCAGTTTCACGGCAGCCTTGAAAATCCAAATAATTTTGAAGGATACAATTTACAACATATAAGCAGGCAACTATTAATCTACGAACTTTAAATAAATACAAAATCAAAGTACAATAATAAACAAAAAAGACATTTAAAAAAAAAAACAAGCTAGTAAGAGAATCTACAATTGAAAGCTAGCTAATGAACCCACTCATATTTTGCTAAATGTATCATGGGTAAAAATTTAAAGATCTCATAAATTATCTTGTTATTTTTGTGCATATTATTGATTTCTGCTCAACGTTCCGCATAATTGTAATTGCACATTTAAAACTTTTGAAAGTTAAAAGTATAACATTGAATAATTTTATTGGTGCAATAGTCTTGTATATTTTTAAAAAGTGAACTATCTATGTTAATATGTTATTGTTCAAGAACCCGTACCTCTTCTTTTTTAAATCCTTTTATTTTTCCTTCATTATCTTTTTATAATTTAAGTGTAAGACTTATACAAAGTGAAGTTTAATAAGAAAACAAATTAATAAGTAAAGCTTTAATTAATTTTAAGCTCCTATATTAAAAAATAATTAAATATTATTAAATGAAGTGTTTCTTATAATATTTAACATAAAATTTGAGGGACTTCAGAATATAATTTTTTTTATGATAAAGATCAAGTTTGAAATGAAAAGAAAAAGATTAGTTTTAAATTCTAGTCTTTCATCCTAGGTAAACATTATTTCATTAATGGTATTCTATTGGATGGTAATACTCACGTTTTTTTTACTTAACTAGTCTTAGGGTACACGTTTCATGCGTGTACCCCATGTTAATAAATATATAATTTTAAAGAATTATATAAATAATAGTTAAATAATATATTTGAGTTTATAAAAGAAAAAATAAAAAAGTATAAGTTTTTGAAAGTAGTGAATGTTAATCTCACTTAGCTGACTCAATAAAGAAAGAAATTCTTCTCGCGTAAATTCTAAGATGCCTTGTTGCAATTTCTAAAGACTTATGTGTGAACATCTTATGAAATTTTATTGTTAGTTTTTGTGACCTAATACTAAAAATAAATATTTATGCATAAATACTTTTATCAAAATTCTATCGTTATATCTTTAGAGATTTGGGAATGAATAGATTGCCCTATAGTTTAAGAACTTTTTGACGATAGTGTATAATATAAGGATGGCTAATGTTGAGTTGATATTTTACAACAAATAACTTAGTAATATATAAAAAAGATATAGATATGTTGGAATGAATGGAAAATAAAGAAAAAAATTAATAAACTCTCATTTAGAATACCGCAAAAAAATTATACGTATGTTATAATGCAGTGATTAAATATTATCAAAATTATTTATTGGATATAAATTATTTTGATAGATGTTTGAGTCATTGGATTAAAACAGAATATATGACGTATAATAGAAATATTTGTTTGATTTTATCATATATAAACTTGAATAAAATTTTATTTTTAATTTTAACCTTAGACTTTTTGAATAATTTAGGCGAAAAGCTTTGAAGGAGATATTTTGGGCATTTGTGTATATTTTTTCTTGTGATACATAGCTAATCTCTATATTATTATCCCACATTGAATATAAAATCAAAATAGTACCAAATTATGATATAACTAATTTCGTAATTTCTTATGTCGAAAATGTAAATTCAATCACACATGAAATTGAATAATCTCACATTCTATCTCAAAATTATTATCCTTCAATATTGTTCACGGAAAATTATTTTTACATTCTTTAATTTGCTTATTTATTTTTAAAATTGTTGAGAGTAGTTTCAAGTACTACACATATAATTGATGAAGAGAAAGTACTTAGTGATTTGTTCATTTAGTATAGTTCCAAATATTATAAAAGAAATGATAAAGAGAAAATATATCATGAAAGGAGGTCAAATATTAAATATATGAAAGTGTGGATAATGTCTTCAAATTTATTTATTGTCGAAAATTGAAAAGTTATTGTCCAATACAATTTTGAAGATGTTATGTAATAGGATTGGTTTACTTTGTTGGAGAAATGTTTATACGTTTATTATTTTTTTGCACAATATATTTTTTAAATAATAGGGCTTCCTATCTATATAGTTCAAATATGGAACAATTTAATAAGTAAAATTTTAATAGATTTTAAAGTCCTAAATATTAGGAATGTAAATTAAATTACATCTTTATCCAATGTAATATCAATTTTGAAAGGGTAAAAAACGAACGACATTTCGCTAAGGGCCTTCGTGCATTTAATATAGTATATAGATTAATATGTTGTAATGACTAAAGGCTAAAAATTAGGAGTCCTTACTTAGTTTAATAAGAAAATATTTAATAACCAAAAATTTAAGGTGATTTAAATAGTGGCGGACCCATGTGGTGGCTAGCGGGTTCAACTGAACCCACTTCACCAAAAATTAATGCTGTGTATATGTATAAATTAGGATTAAAGTTGTGTAAATTTTGTATAAATATTTTATTTGAACCCACTTGACAACTACTATTTTACGACTAAAGTTATATACTTCTAAGATTGAACCCGCTTGCACAAAATCATGGGTCCACCACTGGATTTAAATGTCCTAAATATTAGAAAAGTAATTTAAATTACTATTGTGTCCAATGTAAAGTCTATTTTTAGAGGGTAAAAAAGATAAATAATATTTTATTAAAGACTTTCGTGCTTATAATATAGTATATATAGATAGATATAAATGTAGTTATTTTGTTATTTTCTTTGTCCTTTTTCTTATGTCACTTTTTTCTGTTCTAGCGACATATTATTTACAGCCTTTAAATCCTCAAGGCAAGTACCAAAATAAATAAAGCAGCCTAGATTTGATCCCCTGGAATCGAAACCATCGGAAGTTTCTACATTTTCCACCAAAACACGTATAGAGACCTCCTCGAAGTTTCTCGAACAAACTAATTCGCACCGCCCCATTCCCGTCTTTACTTCTCTTCTCCCTTTTATTTCTTCCTCCGCCATCGTTTCTCCACAAACAGATTCAAATCTCGCCGCTCGAAGCTTTGCTGTTCTGAGAAATTATCACCCAGTTTTGTTCAGGCATTTTCACAAACACCTTGCAAATGGAAGAAGACGGTGCCGTGACTGTGTACAGTGGCAGCGCCATTACCGATACCAAGAAGAATCCGTTCTCAATCAAAGTCGGGCTGGCCCAAATGCTCCGCGGAGGAGCCATTGCTGAGGTCACCACTGTCGACCAAGCGAAGATCGCCGAGTCCGCCGGCGCCTGCTGCCTCGTAGTTTCAGAACCTATAGGACCCGGAATTTCGCGCATGGCCGACCCATCTCTAATCAAAGAGATCAAACAGGCCGTCTCAATTCCCGTAATGGCAAAAGCCCGAGTCGGGCATTTTGTCGAAGCCCAGATCCTTGAAGCTATTGGAGCAGACTATGTAGACGAGAGCGAGGTTTTAGCCCTAGCCGACGAAGATCATTTCATCAACAAACACAATTTCCGTGCCCCATTCGTCTGTGGATGTGGCGATCTCGGAGAAGCCTTAAGAAGAGTCCGTGAAGGTGCTGCTATGATTAGGACCCAAGGGGATCTATTAGGTACAGGTAACATTGTGGACACAGTTCGCAATGTGAGGAAAGTGATGGGAGATGTTAGAGTTTTATCAAACATGGACGAAGATGAGGTTTTCACTTTTTCAAAAAAGATCTCCGCGCCTTATGATATTGTCGCACAAACGAAGCAGATGGGTAGACTTCCGGTGGTACATTTTGCAGCTGGTGGTATCGTGACCCCAGCGGATGCAGCGCTCATGATGCAGCTGGGTTGTGATGGCGTGTTTTTGGGACCTGATATATTTAACTGCTCGGATCCTTATAAGAAAGTTAGGGCGATTGTGCAGGCTGTTAGAAACTATAATGATCCTCATATTTTGGCTGCGGCAAGCAGTGGCTTGGAGGAAGCAATGGGTGGTTTAAATTTGAACGAGAACAGGGTCGAGCGATTTGTTAGTGCAGAAGAGACTTATTGATGAGACTATTGGTTAGCTTGTCTTATTTGTCTGTTGTTTTATCATATTATTATGTATTTTTCAGTTCTGTATTTGTGAGCGGTGTTATCTTTCTTGGTTTACTTTTGCAATAACATGATGATGAGTTAAGCATAGCATATCTTGTCCTTGTTCACATGCTTGTGACACAAAATGAAAATGGTAACATTGATTATAGTTGACTTGAAATGAAATGACTGTGGCTACTACATTGTGGAGGCACGTTCATTAATTTGGTTTTAGTTGTTGTTTACATGTTTACGGCTGTGTAGTAGTGAATTTAGAAACAGCATATGATCAAATCCAATCCAATCAATTCTCTCATTTGGAGGCATTGGCTAAATAACTGCGGTTATAGTGAATGATCAGTGTTTCAGAGCTCCAACTTATGCCAACCAAAAGAGTTGATGCACTTTAAAGAGCAGTTTTTTACTCTTGTTTCATAATGCCTTTCCAGATTGAGCGTTTGCATGATTATTGTCACCCTTGTTGAAAAGGTACCTCAGAGCAGTTTCATAGGCAGTGAATATAGCCCCATACACTATGAATGCTCTGCCAACAGTCGTTCCCAAACCTAGCCAGAGCACACCGTGTCGCTCTTCTTTAACACTTCGCCTGAAGCAATCAACAATACCACTGTATTTTGTATTTGATTGAGCTTGGAGTCTGGTCTTAACAACATCTAGGGGATAGCAGCTTATCCAGCTAACAGCTCCTGCTAGACCACCTGCTATGAGCGTTGTTTGAAAGCTCTCTTGGCCGTTCTTGCGACAGCCAGGTTGAAGTTGCTCCTTCGTATACTCGTATAACCAGAAATACAGACCATGAGAGTGTGAATCTCTTAGGACAGTAATGGTTAATCCCCTGTAGATTCCCCTCCAACCTTCCTGTTTGATTATTCTTCTTGTGACATCTATTGGACCCTTGAGACTAGTTGTTTGATTGTTCTGCTGATGGGTTTTGCTTTGCAATTGAAGTCTGATTTTCACCAATTCCACAGGGCTGATAATTAGGCTCTGTATTGCTCCTGCTCCAGTGCCCCCCAAAGCCACCCCTTTGTATGAGGGTGGGTCGCTGGCTGGGATATTTCTGTCAAAAGTCCGCGATAGAATTGCATAGCTCTGAAATACCATGGCATTCTGCAGTAGGGAGGAAACTAATTTGCCCAAATTCTATATCAAATTTTCTTGCACAAGGGAGGGACGGGGGGTTGGGGCATGGGGTTATGGAATGAACGGTGCATGCTTCGAGTGGGTGGTGTCGAAAGGTACACGAGGCAAAAGTTTGGCGAGTTCCAGACTATGTACCAATTGAGCTAGTTCTTGGCACTATGGCTGCAGTTCAAAACTAATGTGCGAAGAGATCAGAATCTATATGCATACGCTATTTGTGATTCTTATATCTTCTTAATTTTTTTAGACCGTTCCCATTTTGGTGGTTATCCTTGATAAGAAGCGTGGGAATCTTAAAACAAGTGGACACATATCTAGTAATTTAAATAGGTTTTTGTGTATGTATAGAAAATAGCCTTATGAAGTATGGATTAGTATATCCTCTGCGAAAATGCACAGGGCATATAACCTTTTGAAATGGCTTAGTAAAGTTATAGAAATGACTCAGTATATTCACTTTTGTTTGCTTTATACGAATAAATCGACTCATATTTTCCCCTTTATCACACAAAATAACTCCTTCATGAGAAGCATAACAAAATGACATAAAAGGTCCCTTAAGTTTGAGAGTAGGTTTAAAAAGTTATCCTATACCTTCGTGCATATTAAATCACTAATAACATTTATATTGAAATTAGAGGTTATATGAACTGCATTTTTCATTCTCCATTTTTTTTAAAAAAAAAATAGGATGTTTTTAAAAAAAATAGAAGTTTTTACGAATTTTTTTCAATTTTAAATGTGTTTGAGTCACCACAAAAGAATGCTGGCTCAGACAGGGAAATAGGTGCAGGACAAACTATTAGAAGACACGAACCGGTAGTCACTTGCTAGGAAGTAGATGACTGGATATCTGCAGAAAAGTTTATGGAAATACTCAAAATTGACGTATCAAGAAATGTGTTGTACTAGGATATGCAAATATTTGTGGTATAATTTCCGTGCAGGCTGCAGTCAGGTCTCTCTTACATTGTTAAGTGACGTTTAGCTGAATTCATGACTTCAACCTCATAACTCATCGCGTTTGACATGTTAACTGAAAATCATTATCCGTATTCTGTAACAAAAGGAAAATCGAAAGGAGGAAGAAGAATGACCTGAAAGGCGACGGAGGGTAGAGGAGCGGCCATGCCCCTGTAGAGAGACAGGGGACCTTCTGTTCTATGGCGACAACATGGCGAAAAACGCTGAAAGCGGAACCACTCTTAGAATTCTGCTGTCGAACTCTGATGCTGTCGAGTGGATAACCAGAAATGACACCAGCTGTTCCTCCAAATCCACCAGCCACAAATTCTTTACCCCAACTGCTTGCTAGAAACTCTGGCCAAAAATCCATGCCCCCTGCATTCCCCAATCAAGAGTACCTATCTTCTGCTTCAACTCTCGCTCTTACTACCTTTTCTTATGCCTATTCAATAATCATACCTTAATAATGCAATTTTGTTGGGAGCGGGCTAATGTAAGAAACGGCCAATCATATGCCCATACATTGTTTTCTTGTGACCCCACAGGTGAGTTGATCATTGACACAAAATACAGCTTTAATTTGAAATTCCAGATCGAGTTGAATCCGGAAGCCACGTCTCATCTTTGAATCATGATTTTAATCATACTATATGTTTCCTAACTTGTTTTGCGCAACTAAATTTGGGAGAGTTTAAAAAAAAAGTGATGTCCATTTGATTGTCTAGTTTACTACTTATCTAAGATTTCTGAATCTTCATTTGCACTCAAATCAGATGATATAAAATGAACTAAGTTGCTGATGGCGTAAAACTTGTTTAGAGACTTAAAACAATCTAATAAGCTTGCTTACTTTTGTTAACAACTCATACTTAATATAGACACTTACCTACAATTAAAATTTAGGCGCGTAATAATTAGCTAATCCTCTGGAATGAGGATAATGAGGAGGAAGACATGAAAGAGGTAAAAGAGGAACATCTGGATAAAGTAAAATCCAGATGAAGGATACAAGCAATAGTCTTTATTTTGCTTCATTAGGAAGATGGCGTATCACCTATTGGTGGGCTAGCCGATTTCAAAACCCCTATCTAAGCCATAGCCGAAGATCATAAATTTTAGCAAGTTTAACCACTTTAAGACATACCCGTCTGAAGTTTGGCTTGTCAAAGCCTAACTACGTGTCTGAAGTTGTAGAATGACATTCATTTACTAACTCAGCAAAGAATTAAAAAAAAGTTCATTAAATCATTTGAAGTGCATGTTTTCGAGTAATCCAAGCCTTTCTGTATGAAATAACATGTTCAAACTTCTATCTCACAAGATCAATAACACTTCTCACTGTACTGTTAGGTTTTTCCTTCAAACAACTCACAAGGAAAGATGCAATCGGATCAGTATCCAGGTTGCAATGATCCAAAGTCACTTCATGGTTGAGATGAAATACACGTGGTATCTCGTTTAGTGGGTATAAAACACCACGTTGTAGCTACCAGATTCCTACTCTAGATATACAATTAAGTCTTTAGAAATACATGGGAAGATTAACAGGAGTTGGCTTCTAGAATATCTGTAGAAGGACTCCTACGTGAGCTATACACGAGGACTCCTACTTAAACTCGGCAATGAGCCTTGATGTGACAGCTGCTTTATCATCTGCATCAGTAGTATCTCTAACAGCTTCAACTGCAACTTGTCATTGGCATGTGATATTTGAAATTGAACTTCAAGGCATATATGCTTGTACTTCAGGCGTTTGTGACTTGAAATGACTGTGACTATCACGTTGTGGAGGCAAGTTCATTCATTTGGTTTTAGTTGTTGTTTACATGTTTATTGCTTTGTGTAGTGAAAGATCATTGTTTCACAGCCCTACTTAGGATCATCCTGTGTTTTCTTTTCAAAAAGCTACGAGTATTCTAGTGAAATAATGCCAACCAAAGAGTTGATGCACTGTAAAAGAACAGTTATTCGATACTGTTTTATAATGCATTTTTAGATTGAACATTTGCATGATTATTGTTATTGTTATTGAAAAGGCACCTCAGGGCAGTTTCATAGGCAGTGAAAATAGCCCCATTCACTAAAAATGCTCTGCCAACTGTAGTTCCCACACCTCGCCAGAGCACACCGTGCCCCTCTTCTCTCATACTTCGCCTAAAGCAATCAACAATACCGTGATATTTTGCAGATTTAGACTGTGATTGAGCTTGGAGTCTGGTCTTAACAACATCTAGTGGATAGCAGCTTATCCAGCTAACAGCTCCTGCTAGACCACCAGCTATGAGCATTGTTTGGAAGCTCTCTTGGCCGTTCTTGCGACAGCCAGGGTGAAGTTGCTCTTTAGTATACTCGTATGCCCAGAAATACAGACCGTGAGAGTGTGCATCTCTGAGGACAGTAATGGTTAACCCGCGGTATATCCCCCTCCAACCTTCCTGTCTGAATATTATTCTTGTGACATCTATTGGACCCTTGAGACTAGCTGCTTGATTGTTGTACTGATTGGTTTTGCTTTGCAATTGAAGTTGGATTTTCACCAATTCCACAGGGCTGATAATTAAGCTTTGTATTGCTCCGGCCACAGTGCCTCCCAAAGCTACTCCTTTGTACGAGGGTGGGTCGCTGGCTGGAATATCTCTGTCAAATGCCCGTGATAGTGTTGCGTAGATCTGAAATACCATGGCATTCTGCAACGAGGAGAGCATTTTTTTTTTAATATTGTAAGAATAAAAGCCAAATTCAAAATCAAATTCGTTCTTGCACAATGAAGATACGGAGTGGGTTGGCACAATGGTTAATACTACAGCAACAACAACAACAACAACAAACTCAGTCAATTCCCACAAGTAGGATCTAATACAATAGTTAATACAATAAAAATAATATTGGAATTGTTACGCAAATAACCGACCAGATTCAATATTTATTTTTTCTCGTCGATATACATAGATTATACATTAATTTTACATAATTATACATATATTATATATGAATTATATATAAATTATACATCCATCGACTATTTTTAGTTTCTGCCCTTCCAGGATAGGGGTAAAACTGCGTACATCCCACCCTCCTAGACCTCATTTGTGGGATTACACTGGGCTGTTGTTGTTGTTGTTGCTTGTAATTATGGCCAATATTTTGGCTAATGGAGTCCATCATAAGCATCTTTGCAAAGTGTAGACTTTGTTGGCAATATTCTTTGGGACCCAAAAATATTGCATTGTGTGGTGGACATCATTTGCACAAGTTGTATCTCTTCTTTTACACCTAAGAGGCAAGACTTTTTTGCCTATAAAAGGGAAGGCCATTAGTTCATTTTATACACACCAACAAGACTTGAGTCTTCATTTCTTGTTTCTTCCTTTCCTCCTTTATTAAGAGTGTTTTGTATGAGAGTTAGTGTTGAGAAGCACTTGTGTGAACCCTTTCTTTGGAGTGATCTTGTGAGGTTATTCTCTTAGGGTATTTGGGATTAATTAGAGTGTTTACTCTAATTTTGTACTCTCTTTTGTACTCTTATTGTTATAGTGAATTTGCTCTTCTCCGCTTGTGGACGTAGATCATACTGACCGAACCACGTTAAATTGGTGTCTTCTTTATCTGCTTTAATTGCCGTTGTTATCAACTTCAATTGTCTTTGTTATTGTCATTATACCGTTATTTGGCTAAATTTCGCACTATCCGGGTTTCCGATCCTAACAAATTGGTATCAGAGCCAGATCTAACCGGGTTAGTTTAAATAGCCAAAATGACTCTAACAAAGTCTTATGTTGAGAAATTTGACCGAAGTGCAAACTTCGAAATGTGGCAATTAAAGATGGAAGCTATCCTAATTCAAGATGGCTTAGATTTGGCATTGTAAGGAAATGAGAAGATGCCGGATAAAATGACGGACGAGGAGTTTGCCGTCATAGACAAAAAGGAAAAAATAAATATCATTTTAAATCTCTCAAATGAGGTTTTACGTGAAGTTTCTGTAGAAACCACAACTAAAGGCATGTGGAAAAAATTGAAAACCTTATATATGAAGAGGACGGTGAAAAATAGACTTTATGTGAAGCAGAAGCTTTATACAATTCGTATGGGTGAAGGTACCTCTATTCTCTCTCATCTTGACACCTTTGATTCCATTCTTATGAATTTGAGTAATATAGATGCTGAAATTAAAGATGAGGATCAAATCGTGTTACTACTTTGTTCTCTACCCCATCTTTTAAGCATATAAGAGATATTATGATTTATGCAAAGGATAATATCTCTTATAAGGATATTAAATCTATCTTAAAATCAAAAGAACAGATAGATAATGATATTACAAGGGAAGCTAGTGGAACTCAAGCGGAAGTTGGCTTATTTGTTAGGGGCAAATCCGACTCCATATCCAGATACAATAATTTAGAGTGTCGCTATTGTCATAAGAAATGTCACATTATCTCTGAATGCTATAAACTGAAAAATAAATAAAAGCATAAAGAAAGAAAAAATGTGCACAAAAATACTAACACCGCTGAACCTAGTGTAGCAACTTTTGAGATTGAGGGAACTATATTTTTAGCAACTGAAACTAGTTTCAGATTAGACAATGAGTGATTTTAGATTCCGGTTGTTCATATCATATGTATCCTAGCAGGGACGTATTTTCTACATATGATTCAATTCCAGGTGGAGTTGTCCAACTGGGTAACAATGTTACTTGTAACGTTATTAGCAAAGGTACAATCCGGATCAGAATGCACGATGGTGTGATGAGAACTCTCACCGATGTTAGATATGTTCCTGAGTTGAAGAAAAATCTCATCTCTTTGGGCACTTTAGAATCCCTTGGGTGCAAATTCACTGGTGAAGGTAGAGTTCTGAAAGTTTCTCATGGTGCTCTTGTGATCATGAAAGCACACAAATCTGGTTCGTTATATACTTTATTGGGCTCCACTATTATAGGCCCTACTACCGTTTCGGTATCAGACAGCTTGTCTGATTTTGATAGCATTAAATTTTGACATATGTCCATTGGGACTTTTGCGGAGAAGGTGGAGTAAACTTACTATATCAGCCAAAATTAGGCCAAGGTGAAGATTTGTAATTATGACCAATATTTTGGCTAATGGAGTCCATCTCACATAAGCATAAGCATCTTTGCAAAGTGTAGACTTTGTTGGCAATATTCTTTGGGACCCAAAAATATTGCATTGTGTGATGGACATCATTTGTACAAGTTGTATCTCTTCTTTTACACCTAAGAGGCAAGACTTTTTTGCCTATAAAAAGGAAGGCCATTAGTTCATTTTATACACACTAACAAGACTTGAGTCTTCATTTCTTGTTTCTTCCTTTCCTCCTTTATTAAGAGTGTTTTGTATGAGAGTTAGTGTTGGGAAGCACTTGTGTGAACCCTTTCTTTGTAGTTATCTTATGAGGTTATTCTCTTAGGGTATTTGGGATTAATTAGAGTGTTTACTCTAATTTTGTACTCTTATTGTTATAGTGAAATTTCTCCTATCCGCTTGTGTATATATGAAAATATACACAAGCCCATATAACGTGAATAAAGTTGCTTACGGGTAAAAAATAAAAAAATTCGACACTCCAGTAAAAAAACAACCCCAACAACCTTACTCACTCTCTTTTGTTAACCGTTCATACTTAATGTAGACACATACCCTGTTACCCGCAATTAAAGTAGAATCAAACTTCTCTATACCAGTAGAGCAGTCAATATGGGAGCTCAGTCCAGCCGGTGATTTAGCAGGGTTGGGCTAAAATTTTTGGAGCCCATTTAAAAACGAGGCTTTTAAATCCGGTCCGAGTAAGCCCGTGGCCCATGAGACTTGACTGAGGCTGGGCTGGGCCGGCCCGTGAGCCTAAAAAAATACGTATTTAAAATATATAAAATATAAAAAGTATATAACACAAAAAATAAGAAGAAGAGTATCCCAAGCTTAAAGTTTATTAAACTCATCATATTAAAAGATCAAAGTCTTAAAACGTTAATTAGTTTTAAAAATTTAATTATTCTTAATATTTAACTAATTAATATTGCATACGTATTGTAGATGTAGATGAAAGTGAAGATATTAAGACAGCCTTCTCACAAGCGAATTCAAATGTGTTTGATGAAGATGACATGTTGGATATCTCATAAGCGTCATGGACAATCTTTTGAATAATTTATTTTGAGTTTTGACTTTTAGTGAATGAAATAAAGTCTTGTCTTTTACTTTTTTAGTATTTATTGTGTTATATTGGAACAATATAAAAAGTTATTAAGTTTTGTGAAATTTTTCCAATAAGATTTTTTAAAATTTTAAATATTTATCTTTTTTAGGTTAAAACTTAAACAAAAAATTATATTTTTAAAAAATGATGGGCCGGCCCGTGGGGGCCCGCAACCCACATAGGGTCAGGGTGGGCTGACCATTATAAGGCCCGTCAAAATGGTGGGCTAGTCCAGCCCAGCCCGTCAATTGCTAAAGCCCATATGGGTTGGGCTGGGCTAGCCCGGCCCCGCCCATATTGACAACTCTATATAACAGCATCATTTGTTCCAGATTTTTTGATTGTTATAGCGAAATGCTGTTATAGAGAACATATATTATAACATATCATGAAAATTGGTTCCGTAAAAAAACTTGACTTTTATAATGAATGATTGTTATATAACGATATTGTTATAGAAAGGTTCTACTGTATAACCTAATAAGTAGTAACAATATTAGCTAAAAAAGAGTAAACAAATAAAATCAAATCATCATCCCTTGATGCAGCAAGCAAGTTCAATCTTGATAAAATTGATAATTTTGAGGGATACAAGTCATCTAGCGATCATATCTGAAATTGTTAACTCATTTGTGGAACAATTTACAAGTTGTTCACGAATTTCAGTCTCTGCTCTATGCGTCTCAATGAAGAATGCTGGTTGCCTGGGAATGGGTAGTTGCGAGCTATCACTTGTGAGCATCATAACCACATTTGACATGGATGGCCTGTCCATAGGATTGGCTTGAACACACAGTAATCCTACATGAATGCATCTCATTACCTCGTTTATTGGTTGTCGAATGGATCCGTTAGTTCTTCAAATACTCTGCCTGCTTTCCACAGCTCCCATGCCTGAGACAAAATATGATATAGCAAAGTATCAAGTTTCCATGCCAGAGGCGGATCCAGAATGTAAAGTTGAACATTAAAGTTTTTAGCACTTAGTCATTTTATGGGTTTTGAGTTTTAAAATCCGTTGAAAGTTTAGTGATTTTTCAATTGAGTACCCTCCATCTGTCTCTGGATCATGCTACATTATTGACTTTTAATGAGAGAAACTTACATATCCTATGAGGTTTAGTGGGCGTTCCAAGTGATAGCAGCTGTTGTTTCTTTTGCCATTCAAAATCTCGAGTACTACAACTCCAAAACTGAATACATCTGTCTTCATTGATACAATGCCATTCATGGCATATTCTGGAGACATGTAGCCACTGAAAAAAAAAACAACTTAGTACCTAAAAAATGAATTCGCTCCATTGTTAGATAATTATACCATCTAGTATTACGGACTTACTAGGTACCAACAATTCGCTCTGTGTTTGCTTCAAATTCTTGCTTTCCAAATATCCTAGCCAAACCAAAATCTGAGATTTTGGGGTTCATATTGTCATCAAGTAAGATATTGCTGGCTTTTAGATCTCTGTGAATCACCCTCAGCCTT